TTTATAAAATTAAAAATACAAACAATTATCGTACATGATAAACTTACTCTAACATTTGTCATAAATCGATAATTTACATATTTGCCCAAGAGATCTACTTGTTTTGGTTTAGCCTAAAACTGCAAAATGGGCTATCTGTGCTGTGTCTTCGGCGGGGATCGAATGCAGAACTCAAGTGTTATAAGCCCTCGAGATTACCAAAGAAGCACCGAAGGGCTCTCATGGGACAAACAGAGAATCACCCCCGTTAAAATAAACTCTGAAGAAAAGAAAGTGTTTTCACCTTTTTTAACAATTTTTAGTTGCAAATAAATTTATAAGACTCTTTTCTGAAGCAAAATGTGACACGCAGAAAGCATAATAAATCTTACGACAAAAGTAACTGCCCGCAAAAAATAGTTTATATTATTCTCTCTGGTAACCAAGTGCCACTACAAAACCTATAAATCATAAATATTGCATGTCAAACTTATTCTTCAAAGTGCAAGAGTGGTTCTTCCTTTATTTCGGACATTCGAGCAAAACTAAACTGCGCTATCCGTCCTTAATTTTTAATCGATAAATAGTGAAAAGGCAACTAGTCATTAACATCTACCGCCAACTCTTGGAATACTCTAATTGAATCGTAGGATATTGATTGCCCCTCACTCTTATAATGCACCCTTGACTTTAAAAGTGTGGAGTATGGTTTGCCGTAACGGGCCGCAAGCCATGAATCCTCTGATTCACAGTTTGGCAAGCTATCTATCCAGCCATGTTTGACCCACAAATATCAAATTTGGTACATATAGATGCTTATAAAATATGCTATAGGTGAGTATAATTTAAATTCTGATTTAAACCGCTAGATAACGATGCAAATTGAAAATCGTTATAGGCCGAATTTTCAATCGTAACACATCAGAATTACTCGAATTTATGTATAAAAGAATTATTGCATTATTTCTTATAAAAACTTTAGCAACAGAGCTATAAAATTCTAGATTTGAACACCAAGTAGTATAAAAATATATATTTAGGTTTAGATGTGAATATAGATATGTAAAATCCTATGAAAATTAGCACGACTGATATGTATTTATTGTTTATAAAACTGTACAGACTAAGTAAAAACATATGCGTGTGTTTAGGCGCAAAGTTACCTAAACGACTATCTGTGCTTTGTCCATCAGGGTTTTACATACCCAGTTTTCAGTGTATAAGCCATCATAGTTACCGCTAAGCTGCTAGAGGGACGTACAGACACACAGAAATTAAAGAAGAGAGTAAAAAATTACAAAGTTTTATATATATTTTTATTACTGAAAAATGGCTTTGTAATTTTTGAATTCTTAAGTTGTTTTTTTTTATTTTAGCTAACTTTAATATTACTCGCATAAATTATAGTTTACCAATAAAATCAGAGAAAATCTTCTGGATGACGAGCTTTTCAAGACACAATGTTTTGCCAATTACATCGTAAAACTTAATGTATCAGTTATACTTTTATTGTTTCCTAACGCTGAAATGATGGTCACTTGTGTGTTCAACTACTCCTTCAGTTTTTCCAACAGGATTTTATTAGCCTTTAGAAAGTTTATGTGTATTATGGACAAATGCAAATTCTAATATGGACACTCTCCCAATAATTTAATTAGGCTATCCATCTGTAAACTTAACTGATCTTAATATACACAAGTTGATTTTGTGTAAATTATCCCCCCCCCCATATTTTTATAAGAATATCACCTATATTTGGTATTTTCAACCTGTCATTTTATACGTGTGATATAGGACAGTGCTGTAGGGTAACCTGATTTCCACAAGAGTATTAAATAGGTCCACTTTATAACGGGAGGTTCATGCTGGATAATTATGGAGTAAATCTGAATTTAATTAACTAATCGACTATCTTTAACTTAAGAAAATAAATAGACTGAACACGTGATGTTAAGTGCAAGACAATTTTTATTCACAATGCAAAGCAAAAATACTATGTGCATACTTATGTAGACACTGGACAATCACCTTCTAACTGGACCAATGAGTTAATTAGCACTTATATATTATCCTTTGAGAAGATTTGCTATTAATCAACTCATACCTTGAACCAAGAATAATTATCTGCATTCTCACTAAAACCAATGCTTTGTATCAAACAGGAACCCTGTCTATACATCACTGGTTGTTCTCTTACAAACTTAAAAGGCTATAAACTCTAGATATCATATACGTGGCCAGTGAAGGAGATTGCTGTTGATGACCTATCCTATGAAGTGTGCAAAGTTGCAGCAATATCCTCTTGGACAAAGTACACTATTTGTTGGAAGAAAACAAAGAAACAAAGGTAACTAGAATGAAACAACTAATTTTACAAATTCTCCAGGGCTGCCATTAATTTGTGGTTGGCTGTTGTCATGATATAAAGATGATCCTTAGGTTTGACTTGAGTCATCTTGGTGTCAGCCAGTTTGACCTGCAAGTAGTGTATCTCTTCATCAAACCATGATGGAGGGGTTATCTTCTGCTGCAGCCAATCCTACTCTCTGTTGTAGAGGCCTCAAGTCTCTCTCCAGTCAGCAGCTATCTCTAGGTAGTGCTTTTTCAGCACTGGAATCTACTTTGGAATGGGTCAGTTAGTAATCACCTTGGATGCAAATTCCACCTTCAGCATCTTCTGTGTCTACTCCCATGGTTGCTTGGCTGGGGAGGCCTTTTGACTCCACAAGTCACTGTGAACACTCCTGCTGTTTAGGTAGAAGTCCTCTTGTCGTCTGTAAACTCTTGGTGAGGTAGTGATGACAAAGTCCCACTAACTGCCTGGTTCATCTATACTGCTTTCATGATGATGGTGATGGCAGAGGAGACTTTGGGTTTCATCATCATACTGGTGGTGGGAGTTCTGTGGGTACCTGTTCTGCCACTATCTTTCCACTGGAAGTGTGAGCACATCTGGCAGTGTTGCTGGGTAATGAAGGCACACCCTTTGATTGGAAGTCTAACCAGTTGGTCCCACTTCTTCTTGCCTGCGAGGGACTCCTCCTTCATTGATATTAGGTACCAGCAATGGTGGTAGCTTGAAGGTTTTGCTCCTCTGGCATAGATGAGATAGTCAACACAGCACCATCCAAGTCTGGGGCATCCCCAGGTTTAGTTTCAGCAGGATCTTCTGCTTCTGATGGGGTCTACTGGGAATGTGGTAATTGCAGGGTCAGTCTCATGACAAACTTGGTGAGCTCTCCCATATCTAATACATCATCAAGAAACATATTTGTATCCATGATGAAGATCT